CACAGTGAATGAAAGGCTTTGTTCACAGTTGATCAGCAGCAAGTACACATGAAAACCCCAACAGCACACGTGTCAAAACTTAAGGCCTGTGGGCCAAATCCGGCCCGCCGCAGCTCTAGATTCGAGAGTAAACACTAATTTAAATATCATCTTAAATAAGTGCAGTTTTTAACTGTTTACTGCCAAATTATATCAATCAGTCCCTCCAGTTTCTTGAGAATTATTGTGGAAATTCAAGCAAAAATCAACAAATCTCTGCACTTTTTGGTGCTAAAAACTGGGAGTTTATTGTAGTTTCCTCAAAAATTGTCAAAAACTTTACTTAACTAAAGAGCTGCCTCAGCCTTAACTGATGTCAGATTATAGTCCATGTTCTATATAAAAAGATGCATTTTATAAATAAGCGCGCAAATATTTCCAAATTAGTTCCCCAAACACTTTGACTTTTACTTGAAAACTCACAAAAAGAATCACGAAATCCTGGACGGACTGAAAAGACGCCAGATAATATTTGATTTTAATGATTCACTGATATTTTAACAGTTTGTGATCAGGTTTTATTAATACATTCTGGTACAACCGGCCCTTTAAGAGCATTCAGGATCTGGATTTGGCCTAAAACAAAAACGAGTTTAACGCCGCTGCTCTACAACCGAACAGGAAAAGAGTTTTTTGGCTGCATTTCAAACTCAGGTTAGAGAAAGAAAGTGACAAAGGAATGGGAATGTGCATCAAAAACACATTTGACTTTCTTTACTGTCTCATTTTCAATCAGTGTGAAATGCAAGTCTTATCTTTCATTAATTCAGTAAATGTACGAACTAAAAACCTTTGCCATAGAACGGCATAAATAAAACTATGTTTGCTGAATAGCTCAACATATTTCATTAAACTGAGTTAATGGGTAGGATTACAGAAATGTTAACTTCTTCCTGTGCCTGTTCAAACACAAAAGCAGTGATAATTATTTTGTTCCTGGTTTTTCTTGCCCTACTGATTACCTGTTTTCTTGTTCTCAAAAACCTGTTTGAAATAAGTTAGTTAAATGAAATGAAACAGTCAACTATGAATTTTACAGTGTATCAGAGGGTGTTTCAGAAAATCCAAGATAATCTATAAAAAATAATAATTATAAACTGGAACATGACAGTGATACAAAACTTAAATGCAAGTCCAGGAAGACATTAAAAATTCAAAGTTCTGATCCGATACAAAGCCTTGATAATCTTATAGTTTTTAATCGATTTTACCAGCCTCTATTTGACTGATTTGGGAACAAATCTGATTATAAATATTTAAATAGAAATGTCATTCATGCATTCCTTCTACCTTCAAAAACAAAGAATTTTTTCAAAAGGTCAGAGGAAGATGAGAAGGAAACGCTTTCAGGCGTTTGAATAAAGATCTGAGGATCACCTTAAATAAGCACCCAACTCAAACAAAGCGTGACTGGATGGAACATGACAAACACGAAGAGTCAAACGTTTAAACACCTGTGCAGACCGGTGTCTGCACAGGTTGCTGTCTTCACCGTTTCCCTAAACCAAGAGACACTGAAACTCCACACTGAGTGTTGCTGCGGTTTGGCTGAGTCAAACCAAACGCTGCACAGGTAAACTCTGTAAAGGCTCGCCTACAGGACATATAGGATCGCTCGCCGTGCTTCCAGCTACACAAACACGCAATCCAACGACTTTATTTCCGCTGAAAACCCCTGCCACTTGCTAGGCAGGTTCTTCAAGGTCCTGCGATGTTTTTCTTCCTGTCTAGACTCATAATATAGATGCACCCACCACGACCCATTTCCTCTAAGAATCCTAAGATTCTACGAATTTTAGGGAAATTCTTATAAATAATGGAACTGAATTTTACCTTGGTAAAACCTGAATGGCAACAGAACTTAGGATTTAAACCTGCAGTCTGTAACTTTCATAAAAATATATTGTTTCACATAAAACTATCCATGTGTTGTGACTTTATGACACAGAAACAACCAATCAGAGCCAGGAGGAGGGTCTTAGTGCTGTCAATCATGACCTTCTGCATTGGTTTTCTTGCCAGGTCAAATAAGTTTATGCAAACAGCAAATAACTGTGAATTGCTGACAGCTGAGTGTCTGCGTAAAAATTACATTTCAGACTCAAACAATGAGTCTGAAAACGAGCCAAACTATTTTGGCTCTGGATATTTCACTGTAATGCTGCAGTTAAAAACAGCAACCACCGTTCAGCTGCATTAAGAAAATCAAGTTGAGATTGTAAATCCGCAGGGAAGAGGCGTTTTAAAATCCCAGCCTTACAAAACTTAAGAGTCTAATATAAGCAGACGAGGGATTCAGAGTCTATTCTTCAAGAGCAGTTGATGTAAGCTTGTGATTTTGTAATGAAGCATGAGAAAGAGCAATGCTTCCATGTAATTTAAAATCCTTGTCTAGCCACCCAGATGGGTCATGCTGTCATATGCGGGTCAGAAGACCCGGGTCATCAAGTCAACAGCAATTATCCCAGACAACCCATAAACCAGAAAAACAAATAATTTAATCTCCTTCTTCTTAAGCTTGTCTCTCTTTTGCCTTAATGGCTGCCATTCATCTAGTTTCTTTTATATTCCAGATTATGTCTAATGGGAGACACTAAAAGACAATCCAATCAAAAGTTAATAACGTATTCCCCACATCAGGCAGATTATCCCAAAGTTGTTACAGCTCCTTGACATCCTGGGTAACTAATGACATGAGTGTCCGTTTGCAGAAGATTGTCTGCAAACTGTTAGATGTTTGTCTGACTGATGAGAAATTTTCCGTTTGGTTGGCCACAGCTAATGAGAAACCCGAGTTGATAATAAAAAGCTGAAAATATTCAGAGACGGCTGAAACCGCGCTGCTGGTGGAAAGGTTTATGCGTCGCAATTACCGGTGCTGCTATTGTTACTTACCAGAAGACAAGCAGTGTGGGAGGTGTGAAGTACACAAAGCAATTATCGTTAATTGAGGCTGGGAAGCGCATCATTAAATGACTAATTCGTTGGGGTTTTTTATTGTATGAAACGTACCGTTTAGTTCTTTTTTTTTTTTTAAAATAACTGGCTCAGGTTTTGAAAATTAAACGGTATTACAAACCATCGCTCTGATATAATTGCATATAATCCACTGATGAAAGAAACCATTGTTTCAAATAAAGTTTTGTTTCTGAACAATGAAATTTAAACTGCATCTCCTCCAGCTTATTTTTTCTGCTGCTGCAGCCTTTCTGCTTGATGCACTCTGACGTCTTGCATCAATAAGGGTTTTTCGTCCACACAAGATTGTCTCAGAAGGTCAACAGTTTCTGAAATACTCAGAAACTGCATATTTCTAAGTACATTTTTATCTCAAATTCCAACAAGCAAGGAGAGTTTTGCAAGAAAAGATTTTCTCCAAGCAGGAGGAGAAGTTTTGAGTACGATAAGAAAGACGTAGAATCCTGCTTCCAGACTGAAAATGTGGTCCAACATTTGAGGAATTGGTCACCTGAATATATGCCACAAAGGAATGAAAGCAGTTCAGAAGGCAATGGAGGATCAGGTCAGTGAAAGTGACACATACCAGATTCAATAACCGTTTTTCAGACTCATCCTGCTACTTTACAGATGCCCAATTTACAAAATCCAACAATTACAGTGTATATGCAAGTCCTAATGACCTATCAGACAAATACAGGCCACATGCCAACTGGAATACTTTCTAAAAACTAAAACAACACCAACAATCTGACGCCTAATCATAATTAATTATGACTTTATTAACCATGAAGGAAGTACATGTGGGAAAACCACAAGGACTGACCCCATTTCCCAGTCAGAGAACCAAGAGAAAATGCCTATAAATATCTATGAACCCAAATATAAGACAAAAATAACATCAACTACCAATTCATCTTCTTTGCTGCTGTGAAGCACGATGTCATTTATATATTTAGTGAGTGTGAACGGCATTAACAGAAGTCCCCAAGGGTTTCTCTACAGAGTGGGAAATGCTTACTGAATTCAAACAACCTCAGAGCTTTTATCGCAGAGTATTTTGATTCATAAGGACAAGTATTTAGCAATTACTTCCTTTATTTAACCAGACGGCCCAGTTTCTTGAGATATTGTTCAGGCTACTTCATAAAAAATTCACCGAAGTCCAAAAGAGAATCTCGTGAGATTTCAGATTTGAGGAAAACAGGTAACTCAATTTCAATTGTGATTTAGACACAATAGTCAGCTCCTGAAAGGAAAGTGCATCATCTATGGGTAATGATTTAAAACCAGCTTAATCTGAATCTGATGCCACTGAACCTGATTAAAAGCAGACTGAAGAGTTTTAAAAGACTGCACAAAAGAATTGCAAGATAAAAATCTTGTAATAAATCCTTGCAGACATCATTACTGAACAAATATTGAATAAAAGTGGTCCAGCCATTGAGCCCTGGGGAACACCTGGTGACCATTTGTATTCACTGAAAGATTTTTCAACCATTTGACAGCCTGGCTGGTTAAGCCTATTTGTCCAGCCTTATGTAGATTATTTAAATAATGACCAAGTAAATCCTTTAACAGAATGTGGAAAACGGGAAAAAAAACAATTCAAACACCAGAAAAAGTCTCCATAAATGCATGTTTGAGTGAGTAAATATTAATTTTGTAATGTTTTCTGAATGTTGAACAGTTTTATCTTTTATCATCGCAAAAGAGTTTGCGGCTGAAAAAATAATTTAATGCATAAATCTGTGACTAAACGATTCCTTTCCTAAATTTTTCCTCTCTGAGCTGCACAAATATATCAATATTTACTGGGTTATTATATTTCAAGTATCAAAATTTCATCTGCAGATCAATAATTAGTCCAGAGTGATTGGACACCAACCGTATATTTTCAGTGAAAAAATGTATCTATAATCTATTAATTTGCTAGGACTCTGCATCACAGCATTATTCTAACAGATGCCGGTTTCCACAGCTCTAAAAGTCTGGCCATTATTTGGTCGCATTTTGAAGACCAGAAAGAGCAGAGGAGGCACAGCAGGGTTCAGAAAATAAATAAGCTAGTCTGTTCATTTGTGTGGGAACATGTTCGCTTCAGAGACGCAGACGATCAAAACACAAACGTTCAAAATATGATGTTCTGTCTGCAACACAATAAATCACTTGCTGTGTTTCTTACAGGGATGAAAAAAAAACCCTGTAAGAAACGTGATCTTTTCATGCAGTGGTTCCCAAAGTGTGGGGCGCGCCCCCTATGGGGGCGCAGTGCCATTGCAGGAGGGCGCGGGAAGCAGTATGAATGAATAATAAAATTAAAACAAACAGCCACACTGAAGTGTTTCACTGTAAAGATGATTTGTAGTTTGTTTTGTTGCAACCTGAAGTGTGAAATAAACTTCAGTGGAGTTTGAAAACAAAACATGTTAAAAGTTGGACGATGTGTGACCAGTTGATTTTATTGTAATCCACAGGGGAGCCAGAAAACCTTTGGGAACCACTGAACTTAAAACTTGTCAGAAAGACATATCCACTTGTTTTAGTAAATTATTTATTTATTAATGAAGAAGTACTTGTTCCTTTGTCAGATAAATTAACCTATAACATGGAAAAAATATCTTGTTGCAAGTAAAATAATCTGCCAATGGAACAAGAACTTATCAATATTAAGGAGTTATTTACTTAAAATAAGTTGGGTATAAAGCATCTTGGTACAAAGCTACTTTTAAGTTAGAAAACTTGAAATAAGACAAAACTAAAACATTTGAATTAGGAACTAAACCCAAACTATTTGGCAGGACTTTGTGTTTTTGCAGTGCAGAATAATCTTTACTAAAATAACTGTTAGTTGCAGCCTGAGTTTCTTATACGTATTATTAGGTTCTTGTTCTATAATGTGATAAATGTTGCATTTTGTTACACAGTGTTTGTTAAAGTACAAATAATTGCAGATTTTAGGTTATTTTTAATAAAACAGTTTACATTTTAGTTGATTTACCTGCTAGATTTTTCAGGAAGGTAAAATAAATTAGCGTTCAAATTAACACACTGTTCTTGTCGAAACTGCGCCAAAACTTTCTAAGGAATCATTTTAAGTAATTGTGGTTTTAATTAAAACAATAACTGCCATCCTTCTGAGAGCATAAAGATCTGCAGCTCCGTCATCGCATCAACATTCAGATTTTCCTGAAGCACGACAGACACCCACATCAGCTCCTCCTCCTGCTCCTCCCCTCTCTGCTTCATCCTACTCCTCCACCTCCTCAGTCTCCTCCACCTCCTTTTTCGCGTGCTGCTCGGGTCTCTGAAGCAGCATGAGAGGTCCATCTACAAGGGAATGTCAAGCAACAGAAGCTCACGGCTGAATCGGCACCAAGCAGCAGTGAGGTGACAAAAAGTGATTCATCCTGTGCAGCCTTGAGGATTAACACTTTGTCTTCACTTTAATTCCAGCTGGACAAACTTTACGCAAACTACGACCGATTCTCCGAGATCTGGAGAGGACATGGTCGGTGAACTGTGATTATTGCTCCCAGGAACCAGAAGTCCTTCTTGGTAATTCTTGTTTTTTGGGCGAGACATCTGGGCAGAAGCTTCGAAGAACCACGGCTGGTTTTGTAACGCAGACACTCAACAGCTGTTGCTTCTGCCACCTCGACTTGAAGAGGGAAAAAAAAAAGCTACAGGATGCAGAACTCGTACGATCCTGACAAACTTGTTTGCATAAAAGTGCCCTGTTCTTAGCAACTGGTGAGGATGAGAGACGGCGTGGCGACCTACCTGTATTTGATAAGTGTGTTTTTCACCTCGTTGGAGAGGAAAGCGCAGAGGGAAAAAGTGTGCAGCAGTGAGCAGGAGAGGGGAGAGGCAGCCAGGAAAGGTGCGAGGCAAACGCTTTGAGAGGAAAGATGACTCGCGCCGCGGCGAGAAGAGACTGAGCGATCGCTGCCAGACAGAGGGAGGAAAAGAAAATTAAGACTTGGTCAAACGCCCATTTTGTTCTGGAGCGCCGCGGTGAGTATATGCTCTATTTGAAGTGATGAATATAAGAGCAGCGATAATTTTTAATTGCTGTATCGTAAATGCAAGATTTGTTTGTGTAAAATATGTCAACTGTCATTCAACTTGGGTGGGAAACTGCATTTTCTTGTGCAACAAGAGGTTATTTAATGAATGCTTAACTTACCCAAACTGGAGAATAATATTACGTACAGAATAAATGAGAGATAATTCAAGAATAAGGAGCATTAAAACCTTAAACTAAAAGCAAAATATGTTTAAAACACCCAAAATTATACTTTCAGAAGAGAAGAAGATGAAAAAATATTCTGCTCATTATGAAATGTTGATGCACAAAAATAAAAATTCATATTAAATAATGACATAGATATTTAAATTGCTGTGTGTTTTGTTAATAAATAAATAACATTTCTGAAAGGTTACTCCTGAAGAAACCCAGATTTCCTTAAACTGATTATTTTTCATCAAATTCGCAGATCGCCAAACATTTGGATTTAAAATGAAAAATGAGCTCAACACACAAAACCTAGAAATTCCCTTCAGCTCTTAGAAACTGTTCAAGATCTGCAAAAATTTTTTTTGTAGACCAAATACTTAGTTTGTTAATTTTGCAAATGAACCGATAAGGTTTTTGCAGACTAATTCCTGTTTTTCTTGCTCCAACATGCCAATATTAGATTTTTTTGTGAACATCTAAGAGGAAAAAATGTCATCGTTCTTTAACAAAAGAATAACTTTTAAATACAAAAAAAAAATTATAGGATCATAATCAAAGTAAGTGGCTTTATTATATTCCTTGTAATTAAACTCAACTTAGTATATGTATAATTACCAACAAAACTAACCAATCCACCTTAAACACAGAAAACAATCAACTTCAGCTTGTTGTGCATATGGAAACAGTGGAGAGAAACAACTATCTTTAAACAGGAAATTTGTTAAAAATACAAGATTTATACAAGCTGATCATTAACTATCATATTCAAACTGAATAAATCTACAAGATCTACTAATTATTACTTTAAAAAACTAATAGTAAGATCAAAAATTAACTTTCACTACTACTGATTTTTTCTGCTACATTTTCTCAAAAAAAACATTCAAAGCACAGGAGTCAAACTCGAGGCCCGTGGGCCAAATCCGGCCCACCAAAGCTTCTTATGTGGTCCTCTATTCTAGACTAAACACTAAGTGTGATTAAATATTATTTTATCAATCAAACTAATGTAGTTTTTATCAATCTACTGCCAAATTATATTAATCAGTCCCTCCAGATTCTTGAGAATTATCGTGGAAATTCATGCAAAATCAACAATTTACGCTAACAATCTTGAGTTTAATGGAAGATTTTTTTGTCAAAAATTGCCAAAATCTGTTTTACTTGTACTAAACAGCTGCCTCAGCCTTAATTGATGTCAGACTATAGTGCATGATCTATACAGCGAGTTATAAAAAGCCGCATTTACAGTGATAAGTGCAAATATTGCAAATATTTTCAAATTAGTTCCACAAACACTTTGACTTTTATTGCAAAAAATCACAAAAGGAATTGCAAACTACCGGAGGGACTGAAAAGATGTTCAATAATGGTTTATTTTAAGAATTAATTGATATTTTTACAAGTTTTATCAAAAAATTCTGGCACAACCGGCCCTTTAAGAGGATTCATAATCTGGATTTGGCCCGAAACAAAAGTGAGTTTAACACGGCTGTTATAAGGACAATATCTATGAATTCAAATCAGGTTTGGGTTTTTTTTCTGGGTTTCATAAAAATGACTATTTGTAAACAACTCCACCGATTGTTTAGTGGGCTGTTCCACCTGTCAGTACTTGGCGACAAACGGACCAAACAATGATTCACTTGCTACTTTCGTCCAACCTCTGCGATCATTCCTCCACTTTGAGTCCAACCCATTTAGTCGTATCCTTAACCAAACTGGAAAACCTTAATTAACAACATGATTGGGAATATTTGTCTCAGTTAGGAAATCGTCCTTGCGTCTGTCGATCCAGTTGGCCAAATCAGTGACACCGTAATGTGATTTCCTTTTGTTTCATTGTGATTGAGCCTTGATAGGTGCCCATTAGCGGCCTTGGTAAACTATGTCTGCGGGGGAGGAGGTTAATGTGAGTGGATGGATTACAGCGTCAGGATGAAAATAACTGGACAACAATCTCCCCAAGTCTTACAGACTCGTAATATCAGGACAGCACCATGTGCACCGACTTCAGCGACGACACAATCAACCCGCAGCATCGCAGGAACACTGATGGAAAACAAACAGAAACAGATGATGAAAACCTTTCTGAAAATACTTAATCAAGTTTTCAACCCTGAAAAATATCTGTATCACAGAGGACACAAAACGTTCATTAAATCCAGCCGGGATGGGTTTTAAAAAACACATCAATGATGCATGAAAGCATTCAATGAGGCCTTAAAATCTGAAATGTTCCTGACCTTGAATTTAAAGCAAACAGTTTGCTTACATCATTTTATGTAATTTTTCCTAATGCCACACACTAAAATGCAGATTTTAATAGCGGTTATAAAAACACTAGAAATATAATATGTAGCTTCACTGCAAAAACACAAATCTTACCAAGTATTTCTGGTCTAGTTTCTAGTGCAAATATCTAAGTGAACAATAACTTAGAATTAACTTTTCATAATATACAGATGCTTATTCTAAGTAAATAATTCCTGAACATTGACTCCAGGTTCTTGGGAAACTGATATATGTGAGAACAAGTCAAGCATTTTGATGCTAATGTTGCTCCACAGTTCAGAGAGTTGACCTGATGGAGCAAAACCAACGTGATTTTTGGATTCAGCACATCAGAATCGCCCTAAAACAGTTGAAAAACCCCAGAAAATGATTTTGGCTCACTAGTGGTGAATGCTAATAGCTAAATATAAACGCTCATATAAACAGGAGAGACCACTCTGGTAGGTGTCTTAACAGTTATGACTGGTTCTGTTTTTTCAGCTGAACATGTTTTTTTTTTTTTTTGGAGTAACTTCAAGCAAAAGTGAACATTTGAACTTTGTGTCAATTGTGCAACAATTTGTATCAAAGGCGTTATGTTCCTCTATTTTTTAGATCTCCTAGTTCTCGCAATCTTTTTAGATAAAAGGCAGATCTACGCAAACGTACAGATGTACGGCTGAAAAAACTGCACCAAGTTAAAGCTAAGATTGTAGACTTGACTAACATGAAGTATAAATATTCTAGTTGACTGAAAAAGTACAAGTTGTTTTAAACTGCAAAGGTGAGCTATAACAGACTGAATGAATACATACTTGTATTTTTAATTTTAACTTTTTCCTCCAAACTCTCACAGATGCAGTTTTTGTGGAGTCTCTTTCTTATTGTGGAATCATGAACCTTAACTGGGTCATGGCTTTGTAACCTTTTGCAGACTAATAAATGTCAACAGCTTTGTTTTAATTAAATCAAATTCAAAACTGCCTTATTTATTAGGAGATGGAGATTAAATGATGCCATAGCTCATTAAAGGAGGATCTCCAGCAGCAGTCAGTGTCGCAACAATTCTGAAGAAGCCTCTGACATCATCAGCAGTTGGAAAGCAATGCTAATCCACCTGGATAAGATGGTTTGAACTTCCTCTTTCTCTCCCTGCTCTACATTCATGAACCTTCAGTTTCAACTCCTCGGAGAATTGAGGTTCTAGTCCAGGTGTCATTTGAAGTTTTGAAATGCTAATCAGAAGCTCTCAGTTGTAAAAGAGTAGGGAAAAAAAATGCATTGTTGCCATGGTTACACATCTTAACAATTGCCTGAAAGCAACAAAAAAAAACTAAGAGCAAAAATCCTTTCAGCTGCACAGAATCCAAACCAGAAGAAAAAGTAACACCTGAACAACAACAACAAAAAAAGAATCAAAAGTGTTTAAAAAGAACAAATCAAAAGTAACGAAGCAGAGCTGCTTAATTTCTATAGCAGGTGTGTCAAACTAATTTTTATTTTGGGCCAAATCCAGACCATGAAAGCTCTTAAAGGGCCGGTTGTGCCAAAACGTATTGATAAAACCTGTTTACAAACTGTTAAAATATCAATGAATCCTTAAAATGCAATATTATTGAACATCATTTCAGTTCCTCCAGGATTTTGTGATTCTTTTGCAAAACAAATCAAAGACTTTTTATTACTGGCTGAAAAGGTCATGGGCTATAATCTCACATCAGTAAGGCAGCTGTTTAGTACAAGTAACCTCTTGACAATTTTTGAGAAAAATCTGCAATAAACTCCCAATTATGCATTAACCCAGAAAGTGCAGGGATTTGTAAATTTCCATGATAATTCTCAAAAAACTGGAGGAACTGATTGATATAATTTGGTAGTAAACAGATAAAAACTGCATTGATAACATAATATTTAAGCTCACTTAGTGTTTAGTCTAGAGTCTGGAGGGCCACATAAAAAGTTGTGGCGGGCCGGATTTGGCCCACCGACCTCAAGTTTGACATACGTGTTCTATAGACTGGGAAATTTTGTGACACTTTTTGGGCTCTTTTACCCAGCATGTTGTCTAATAGAGGCATAAAACGAAAAATGTAACCAAAATCTCATTTATCGGTCTGTTTATGTTTCAATAATGTGAACAGTTATATTTTCAAAGTGGATGATTAACTCAGATTTGGAATAAAAAAACTGGACGTAGAGGAAAAACGGCGCCTGAAGGAATCGTTTTTAAAATATGACCACAATAGTTTGTTCATATGCAACATATTAAACTTAAAACTGTCATCATTTTTTACTGAAATCAAAATTATATGTTATTTATTTAACCAGGTTAGTCCCATTGACATATTTTACCTTTTTTTTTTTTACCAGGGAGACCTGTAATAAAAGCAGCTACACTGATGCTATCTTTGCATAACCTGGAATACCTTATGGCTAATTTGCATTAATAACATCTTTAACAACAGGCAGGGAGCGCTGATCTTGATACGTTATCAAATATTTA